CCGGCGTCGGGGTCTCCCACCGGGAAAACGTCAATATGCCCATTGAGTACAACGCGCGGCCCATCACCTCCACCACCTTGAAACTCGGCAACAAGATTTGGCTTGCCCGGCTGGGGCGTGACGAGCGTATAAGGGATATTTTTGGTCGAAAGGTATTCGCCCAGGACGGCGGCAGCGACCTCGGTATCTCCAGGGGGGTTGGGTGATGCGGCTTGTATGAATCGCTGTAGCAATTGAGTCTGGTCATCTCTATCAGACTCAATCGCTTCGATCAAGGAGTACTTGTAACTCATTGTAGATTATGCTTCGTGATCCAGACGCCAGGTATGAGGAAATCAAAGCATGGAATCAACGACCAGATGAGAATTAAGAATGAATTCTCGAGCTACTTTACCCCACCCCCCTGAATCAAAACGAGTAAATTCTGCGACGATGACCAGTCCGATAGTATGAAGGAAAGTTAGGCTTGAACATGTTTGGTGTGTCGCACTATGGTAGTTCTCATGGCAGAACTGACCTCTTGTTAAATTCACCGAGTGACTCACACCGACGATGGCATCATATGTAGTGCCGCCGACAACGGGCCTTTTTTGCCCTGAACCAAATCATGTCGTACGAAATTGTCACGATTGCGCAATAAACTTATCCCCTTTCTGGTTGTTGGAATCTCACGTTTTCTATTCAGTTTCTATATAAGCGGTAGCTAGCAACCTACTTTGAGATATATCTATCATGGCCTGGGCTATATCTCTCCTACCAACCTTTGTAAGCCTGCGCCACGGATGGGCGTGCCACGAGACGTTGCTGCCAGGCGACGTAATTCGGGTACTTCTTCTCAATCTCATATTTATCCCAAACGTTAGCCTTGAGTATCGGGTGGCCCTCAATGACCCTGTTCCAAGGGATAAAGGCCAGATCGGCATATGTACTACAAGTGTAGGTTGTGAGCATTACATGTCTATCCACGATTGATGAGGACAATTCATGTCTTTTCAACTTACAACTTATCGCCAACAAGATACTCTTTGCCCTTTAGGATGTTGTCGAGCACTTGCACCACGCGGACAATTTGCTCGTGGTAGCGCTGCTTAGCGACTGGGATGTCTTCGTCGTGTTTATGGAACCACATTGCCTGTCCATAGTAGGGGCCCTGTGAATTGAATCGAGAAACTGTTAGTCTCGGGCTGATATGTGCATTACTCTGGGGTGATGCATAATTCACATACCTGACCCGACATCTGAAAGTGGAGGTACTGCTTCAGCTGCCATTTGTCCGCAACATCGCTCACTGTGAGCTTGCCTTGCTTGTCATATGTCTCAACCAGGTACTCGACAATGGCCCCCGATTCCCAGAGCGTGATATTCGTGTTGGGATCAACAATGGCAGGCACCCGGCCATTGGGATTAATAGCAGCAAACCATTCCTCCTTGGGGTCCTTCACCACAATGGTCTTGTATGGGACAGAGAGCTCCTCAGCGGCAATGACGACCTTGTAAGGGTTGGGTCCGGCCTCTAGGACAGGGGAGTTAGTCCCAATTGATCGACTGATATGTAAGGAAGAGGGGATTTACCGTGGACATAGACTGTGATGGGCTGCAACTCGGACATGTTCGGATTCCAGTACAAGGTTTGGGTTACTATTGCAGAATCAAATGGGACGTTAAATTACCTTCCTTCATTCCTTTTATATACCAGGGGAGAATCGTCTCGGCTGGAACCATGGATCTTGTTGGATCTGTCATCCTTCTCTAGCGTCGCTCTTTCGGTGGCCGAATCTGAGCGGCGCAGCATCCACCTGCCATTGCAAGCTACTTTGCCGAATGTGGAAAAGAGGGAATAATACGACGTAGTATTACTGTGATGAGCTGTGTCCTGAAGGAAGCAGGACGAAGCTGGTCCGTGGAGCTCATTGAAGATCGCGGGGCCACAGCCAATGGAATGGATACAGCTACGAGCTATTACCTGCAATAGCTTGTGGGCACTTCTCGGTCCCGGACAGAGGGCGTGTTATGCAAAGAAGAGGGCGTTTCGTTGGGGGAAATACGCTATTACGACTTGCCGTTGCAGTCGCGTCAATGCGACGTCTTTCAATTTCCCAATTGGAGCCGTAGCTACTACACCACTTATCTTCTCCAGGAGCCAACATGGCTGGATAATCGGCACGAAAGAACGAGTTTGGTTTACGCCTCATGCAACTGTTGCATGATAGTCTCACGCCAGCTGGCCGCTAAATCATCCCCCAGGGCCTCGATCCCTTCCCGCCTGTATTATATAACATCATCCCTCGCTACTAGTTTGCAATTGAACTCGTTGGTTTTCATCATAGTATCCTTGTCCCTGTCAAGACATTACTACTCACGTCATACCAAAGACGTCGCCCTGTAACAATCGCCTTGCAACCGTTTCGACAAATCGACCATGGTCATGCTCAAAAGCCTCATCGGGTTTGGCCTCATCACGGCTGCTTCCGCCAAATACCCCGAGAACCCAGGGTGTGGCGAGATCAATGTCCTATACACGTGCGTCCCAAGTCAAAACAGCCTCCGCGATCTATTAAATCATCCCAAGCTAAATAGTATACGATCTCAGCGGGCTCCCTGCATACCACCCATATGTGGTCGAACAGGGCTGGGACCCAAGTATGGTGGATGCTAGTATTCGCAGTGATACCCAAAACCTGATCAATGCGGGTTACAACACTCGCAGTACGTGGAATCAGAATACGCCCCTTTCAACAAGTTCCTTGCTAATCAATTAGGCAGTTGTTCTCATGGGTCCTGAGGAAGACATCAGCCAAATGGAGGCCCGATTTAAGGACGTGGAGTTCCATGTCACAGGAATTGGCTACGGCATGCGGCCTTCCAAGATCCCCGAGGTCATCACTCGCTTCGAGGGTGAGCATATGCAATCTGATATCACGCAGAAGTTTTGCAAGATTGCTAACTGGTGCAGACAACGTCTTTCTCTTCAACCGACTGGTCCCTGACACGCCCACGGTGTACAACTACAACCCAAACACGTTTCTGTGGTCTGTTGAGCGCCGCTTCCCTATCAAGGAGGACTGCTCACAGAAGCCCGGCAAGGACCTGGTAAGGAATCTGATTTTTCATCTCCACTGAGTCCACCTCTGGGCGTATTATGTTGACACTTTCATATTAGGGATATGAAGAAATCTGCGATGAGAGGTGTGAGCTGACCAAGACCTCCTGGAATCTGCGAAAAGCAGCCCTGAACAAGGATAAGGATACTGGTCTCTTCAACCAGGCCGTCGAGATGAACCAACTGTTTGGGAAGATGTAAGCGTGACATCACATCGCACGGTTGCAACGCCCGATTGTGGAAATATGCATCTAAAACGAGCATTCGGAAGGATATTTTATGAGCGTCGAAGATTTATTATGGAATATTAAGCTTTTGTTAAACTACAAGAGAACTGAAGTGAAAGCTTGAAGAACCAGGCACTGCTTCTCATAGCGGGCGCTGCACCTTCCGTCTCATGACCCGATTAAGATGCGCCCAATTACCGAAGCAAAGCAGGCTTGTGGGATGTTTATTTGCATGTTGTAACCTTGTACTCGACTGTCGAATTGCCTGTTCCGGGGATCTTGGGCTTGAAGTCGATGTAAACCAGCTAGAGCGGGCATCGGTCAGTGTCTGGTCAAGGGATGCAGCAGAAAGGGGTGTTGGGCTCGCGATTACCTCTCCCTTCTCGGGCTTCCAGTCTCCATCAGTGTCCGAGTAGTGCACAATCTCATTTGATCCGGCATCACGGACTTCGGCCGTGGTGTGCGTGAGGGCCCCCTCGGTGCTCCATTTGAAGTGGTAGCAGGTGGACTTGGTGACGAGAAAAGGGTCGGAACATCTGCGGTTGCCGTCGGCGTCGATGCACTTCTCAACGGCGAAGTCTAGGACCTTGCCCTCGCTCACGGTTGAAGCTGTCACGCATGGGTTAGCATAAAGTCTGGTGGTGCTGGATTGAAGGATTTGAAGTCGTACGGCTGGTCAATGTGCTGGTCAGCGCCAAGCCGGCAGTCAACACGCTCTGCGCAGTTGGGATATACATTTTCGATTGATGGGGTGATTCCAAGGTGTAATCAATTTCGGTGAATTGTGATATTCAGGAACAAGAGACAGAGTTAAGGCCAAGGTAGATTCTGGGGTAGGATGTGGCTGCTTTTGTATGTTTTGGCCAAATTCATGCACACGTCATAGATCGCGGCATACTAACGTCATCCGGCGCTGAGGCCAAACCCAATATTCCGCCCTTCGTCAAACAATTCCGTCTTCACATCAATTCTAGGTTCCGAATTATTTGCTGCCTACGGTGTGTTTATGGGAGTCGTGGTGAATTCATGCAGACAGAAAGAACAACAGTGTTCCAGGAGCGGCGCGTGATCCATCACCCATCCATCTTCTATCCTTAGGGTGGCCCCGTCCCAAAAAATTGATATGGCGCACCCATTACAAGCCCTCGTAATGCACTACCGACACTGGAGGAAATTTTGAAAGGCACTATTTATGTAAAAAATCGACGAGAAAGACATGATTGGGGAAAGAATCATAGTTGTTGATAGAGTGTTCGGTTCGATTTCTCAATCAATATGGGCTACCCTACACACCAGCAGATCTCTACTTTTCGCGCGAAGCTCCAGGTTATGATACTTTACATGATGTAAGATTGATAGCTGGTATTCATTAAGGAATACTTTTCACCGAATAAGATGTCATGGGGGATGATGCATCCGAGAAAATTGAGACAGAATACAGGTTGCGCGTAAATGAAAGACGGCCGGGAAAATAGAGTCTAACGTAACATAATAATAACAGTTGCAATACGAACCAAAGTCACAATAACCGCAATTGAAAGTATGAATGTTGAGGCATGGGAGATTAGAAAAGTAAAGTAAACGAAGGGAATTTGATAGTTACAAGGAAAGAAAAATAAGCCATGAGTAGAGCACGACTGGTCAGGACTTCCCTGACGAAATCGGCATTCATCCTACGCTGTCATTGACTTAATAAGCTTCTCGGCATTTGCGAATTCTAGTTCCTTCAATGTCTCATCCCAGAGTCTTTCCTCACTTGTCTTGCCCTCAGAGGTGTACATTAAAGGGTTGAAACTAGACTCATTGATTAGAAGGCATTTATACTGAGCTTTGAATCGAGTAAAACTTACGGGCATATCTCCGAGTTCATGAGATATCCGCCATGGCTCTCCGGACCTTTAACCGCAACAGCATCCAAGTAAAGCCATGCCGCCTGCTCTGGCGTTCGTGCGGTCAGCGTCTTGAGGGTACTGAACATTAAACTCAAGCCCCCAGAGAAACTGCGATGCAAATCGGAACCACTGGTATATCCAGGATCCACAGTGTTGATGATCACATCTTCTGGGCGCACCAACTCGCTGAGTTTATCGGTGAGCATCACAACAAGCATCTTCGATACCGCATAGCGATTATAATAAGTGCCATAGTACTCCTGGTTATCAAACGATGGGAGAAGTGGCACCGCGTCCTGGCTTGGGAATGTGTTGTTGATAGCAACATTTGAGGAAGCGATCATGAGGCGTCCAGGATGTCCCGTTGAGCTCTTGGCTTTTAGAAGCGGGAGAAACAGTATCGCAAGCAGCGCAGTTGAGAGATAGTTGACTTGGAAGGTCTCCTCGTGGCCGGTGGGACTCATTTTCCATTGAGAGTTGAATACCGCCGCATTGAGAATAACGATGTCAAGACTGGATAGTGCGGAAGCACTTCGAGAAGCGAAGTCTTGGATGGACTTGTAAGAGTTCATGTCCAGGGGCCAAACGTCGATCACGGCTTTGGGATGAGACTTTCGGAGTATGGAAGCTTCACTCTCCGCTTTAGCTGTACTTCGTACCCCCATGACCAGGTGAGAGAGGCCGCGTTTCAACATCTGGCGGCAGGTTTCAAGACCTATTCCCACATTGCTGCCAGTGATGATGGCTGTTTGACCCGCAAAGGAAACGGAAGCAGGGGGTGGCTTGCATTTGGTCAAAATCTGGGCCTTGACAAAAACACCTAGATCGGAGTATTTTCGAGGTTGAAGTGCTCTGGACGCCATTTTTAAGACGGTAAGGGATTATAGAGAACGGGTATTGGGTTTTCGTTTCGTTCTTTTCGAGTCTGCTCTGGACGATGAGAGATCATGGAGAGAAGGGTTTGAGCCGAGCTCTCAGAATTTATATCTTCTTTCATCCCAAAACCATAATCGACTCCAGTCGTCCTAACTATCCCAATGTGTTCAACAATGTGGTTATACTTTTTTTCGATAATATGACCATTCTCTCAAGTTCCGGAGTCTGCCCAAAACAGGGGAACAATATGGCTAACCCTGGGCAACCCGCCTGGCTCTTTAAGATATGACGACTCCACCAAGATCTGATTCTTAGCGTCATGGAACCAAAAGAGGAAATCAATCTGGTCGTGGTGTCAGATGATTAATAATTAAACCGGGGCCATCATAGACGCCTCTAGGTTCTCTTGTGGTGTGCCCTGCCTCTTTCCCATCCCTCCTTCAAGAGCAACCACAGCGTTTACCAAAATGAAAAAGTTTGCCTTCGTCAGTGTGGATAACCGCGGCAAAGCAAAGGACACCCTGCAGGTCCGAAGCCACTGCATGAGAGGCAAGAACCGGCGCGAAGATTCCCGGCGCTCACGAAGGGCACTGCGGCAACGGGAAGCTGAAATCGCGGCTGAAATCGCGGCTCAAACCGCTATCAAGCAAATACCGAACGACAAACTAGGTCTTTCAAGCCAAAGTCTCTGGGAAAGACAAATTATACCCCATCAGCCTATCTTAGACTATGAATTGCTACCTGATAGCTTAAATGGCTCCGTGGAACTCCTGTATCAATGTATGTCAAATGCTGCTAAAGGGTAGAGCATAGTGAGCTAACACTTGCGGTATAGATGGTCGGCTAAAAGAAGCCATCTATCCTATTGATAATTGTGTCGAGTTTGAGATTATTCAAGACGACTACATTGGGTGGTTTACTACGGAGTCTGCATTTGTTCAGTCCATCCTCTTCATGGGATCAGCACTCCAAGACCTCGCGATGCAGAGAACTCTAACTCGCACGACGTTGTTTCACCTCAGGAAGACATTGTCCCTGCTAAATGATGCTTTGTCCAACCGACGAGAATATCCAAATGATGCACTTCTCTATACCGTTTTCAACCTTTCACTCGTTGCTACTATCATCGGCGAGGATGAAGCATTCAATATTCACCTTTCCGGCATAAGGAAGATTATGCAGCTGAGGAACCAACACACCAGGGAGAGAATCAACAGCAGGCTCGGGTTTAAAATAAGTCGGTTGGAGCTTTCGGCATATACAAGCACGGGTACCTTGCCACCTTTACCCATCGGGCCACTTTCTTGGGAATCTTGCTACCGCAATGCTACCTCAAGTCCGGACGATACGTTGTCTCTCAGGGCTGCAATAGTCGATAATATCCCATTGCGTACGATTTTTTACGACCTTAGACACCTGGCCGATCGTATTAATTGGAAGTATGGTGGCGCTCAACGTTTGACCGGAGTTGAGTTTCAAGGTTCTATATCCTCAATCCAGTCGCGCCTCTTGCGTCTCATAGTAGATCCTGAAGATATAGAAAGTGAATGTATGCGATTGGGAATGCTGGCATTTCTATCGACCACCCTCCATGTCCCAGGCAAGAGACTCCCCAGTACATATTTAGCTACCCAGCTGAAAAGGCTTTGCGGAGAGATTATTGTGCGGGGAACTAGCAGCAGATACGTAGTCTTATGGCTGCTCATCGTGGGATCTATCTCGGTGTTTGCACCTGATGAGCCATGGATCCGTGCAAAGTGGACGGAAGTGGCGGATGTCGATCTTGTCTGGGAAGAGCTGGAGTTACATTTGCGTGATATTCTATGGATCGACTGCATACACGGAGACCCGGCAAGGAAGGCATTCACAATTATCACCAATGTTCGATCAAGTAACAGTGGTGCAGTGGGTCGGGGTATCGGAAGTTTGGAGAGTACCATTGCATGAGAAACTCAATGCACATCTAATTATCCATGTGATCACGGTTCTCGGCATTATCAAATAGCGCGACCGGCATTAAATCGGGGTGGTATCCCCGTGTGGTGTTCAAGGCAGCTCTCTTCATGTAGGAGACCGGGATTGTTGATTGTTAATATCACCATCACCATTGGCTATGGCCTATATTCAGATAGTCAATGAAACGGCAGTTGACTATAAAGACACGGTATTGACTTAGAGTCGGGACTTGTTCTCATTACGTAGTAGTATTCATCACAAATTGAATGCAAAAAATTCTTCATAAGATGTACGTTTTTATTGAGACTCGCATTGTGACATCTCAGTCCAACCATAACACCCACTGCTCGTTGATCAAAGGAAGGCATAGGCATAATGCCATCATGATGACACTGGGGTCCCTCATCATGATGCTACACCCCAGCATCACCGAAAGTTGCAGTTGCCGGATAGGGATAACGCCATGCTGAGACAAAGCCTAAACAGAACTTTGCGTTGCAGCAGTTGTCAAGTTTGGTCCACTCTGGGCGGAATATCGGCACTCCATAGTAAAAGTGCGAGGTCACAGGTCCTATCCCCGTCACAGTGCATATCTTCGGAGATATTGCAACTCTGGAATAGGAGTTTCAAGCTCGGGCTATTCGGCATTTCCCCTCCGACAAACAAAGCGAATGCAACCACTCAGCAAATCAATATTTCGAATCCGTCAACTCACTGAAGTGAAAGAAGATCATCTCGCCCTCTACAGATAGTACCGAAGCCGATGCAGCAGGGATTAAAATTCAAATTGATCAGCATAGAACTGGGGTCGTGCTATGTCTTCTTGAAAGTCTGAATCCATTAATTAAAAACTATATATAAAAGGGATCCTTCAACATAGTTGAGGGGAGCTTTACAGATATCACAGATAAGCGGAGAGCCAACTTCAGCTGATTTTACACTCAGCAAGATCCATTCAACATGACCGCCAATTTCGCAGCCATTTTTGGTAAAGTTGGAGCGCTGTTTCCATGGCCATGGCTTATTGTTGGACTTGTAGGTCTATGTATTGAACGAAATGACTCTTTGGATCGTTAATTATGCATTAGGTCGTTGTTGGACTTGGCTCTGTCCCAGTCTATAACCTATTCTTCCATCCCTTGAGAAAGATACCAGGGCCAAAATCTTTTGCAGCGACCCGAATACCTTACACTAGGACGATAACTTCTGGTCACATGCATACCAAGGTTCTCGAATTGCATAAGAAATATGGTGATATAGTCAGAATTTCTCCTGATGAAGTTTCAGTCATCGGTGAGAATGTATGGGATGAGCTCGTCGGCCATCGCAAACTCGGTTCTCCCGAAAACGGCAAAGACCCTCACATCTTCGGTGTTGTTGCAAAGCATAGTGTCCTCAATGCGAATCGCGAGGACCACGCGCGGCTAAGGCGAACTCTGTCGCATGGATTCTCTGCGTTGATGATCGAAGCGCAGGAGCCGATAATTTCTAGCTACGTTGACCTCCTACTTCAACGACTCAAGGAGAATTCGGGTAATGGAAATAATGCCTTGGAGCTTACGTCGTGGTACAATTGGACGACTTTTGATATCATCGGAGATCTCGCGTTTGGCGAAAGCTTCAGGTGCCTTCAAGATAGCGACTACCACCCCTGGGTCAGTTTGATATTCAAACGGATCAGATCTAACTCTGTAGCAGTATCTGCCAGGCGCTGGGGCTGGCTGTCCAAAATTGTCCTCGCTTTCCTTGACCAGTCTGGAAGCCATGCGATTGGCGCTCATGCTCGGCTAGTGGAAGAAAAACTGCGCGCTCGAGCATCCATGGACACGACCCGGCCAGATTACTATCATGCGATGACTTTCCAGGAAGACGACAAGGTGGGCGAGACTCTGCTTATACTTATCTTGGTATGGGATAGTTGACGTTTACTGATCGATTCTAGAAATTTTCTCCTGATGAGCTTCGTGACAACGCCAGCACATTGATTATTGCCGGGTCGGAGACAACAGCCACAACATTGTCGGGAGTGACATATCTCCTGGCCAAACATCCAGAGGTTCTGCAGAAGCTGGCCCAGGAAGTCCGCACAAGTTTCCAACACGAGAATGAGATCACCATACGCGGCGTTCAAAAGTTGGATTACATGCTGGCCGTCTTGAACGAAGCCCTCCGCATGTATCCTCCAGTGCCTGGTGCCCTGCCGCGAAAAATGAACCCTAATGGCGGATTCATTAGTGGCCATTGGGTGCCTGGTGATGTAAGTCTGAAAGATTGAGACTATACAAAATGTTGTTGACCAGTGGCACTAGACGGTGATCGGAATTCATCACTACGCCTTTTATCGTAACCCCAACTTTTATCAGATGCCCGATTCATTCATTCCGGAACGTTGGCAAGACGATCTACGGTTCCATAGCGACGCGAAAAAGGTCTTCCAACCCTTCTCTTTCGGACCAAGAAACTGTATAGGAAAAAAGTATGTGAATCAAAATCAACAAAACATAGCAATCTTGAAACTAAAATTGTTGTAGCCTTGCATACGCAGAGATGCGACTGATTCTTGCGAGGATCATTTGGAATTTTGACATGCACCTCGCAGACGATAGCGATGGGTGGATAGAGCGAAGTCAAGTGTTCTCACTTTGGTCCAAGCCTGATCTGAATGTCTATCTCGTTCCTGTGGTCCGAGAGTAGGTACAGTTATTGATAGTGAGATAGTTGGATAGGATGTGGAAGTCAGGTGATTGAATAACTCTGCTGAGTTAGGGCGGATCGAATTGAAGTGGCCTGGGTGTTTTTTTATGCGAGGAGCACAAATTTGTTCACCAAAATGGAAACATCACCTGTTCAAATTTGATACATACCTGTCTTATACGGCAGATGTGTCTCAGGATTAGCTCCGGCAGGTGACACATGAGTGACTGTCTCTTTGCGATGAAGCCTGAACCTTAATGTTCAGAAGAGACGGTAGTTACGTATAATGGCCATGTTTAGTTCCCAATAAAGAATTTACAACGACACAACTTTTGTTTTTTTAACTTTCTCATATTTTCTTTTGCTATACGAGGTTTGCGGAAAACACAGTTCAAAGGCAAGAGTTCGGGACGGTTAAGACATCGGCGGAAAGACATTCTGACTAGTTAAGACTTGATTCAGTCATCAAATTCACGCCCATGAACTTTGGTCTTGCCCTGGAGCGAGATACATCCTCCACGGCTGCCACACTTGCAGCTGTTAATCGTGGGGAACCCGCAGACACCCATGCCGCCTCCTGGGCAGGGATCCGGGAGCTCCGCGTCGGCATTTGCACACTTTGGATAATAGCCACAGCAGTTCCCAACGTTGCGTATCACGCAGTCGCTGTCCTGAGTACAGGCAAAATGTTCTGGGATGTTGATCTCATCGGTGCCTTGGGCTTGATCGCGCGGCTGTTTGCTGGTATCAGTCGCGCGCATGCCCCCAGTCCTATGACAGGAGCATATTAGTATGAGTATGGTGTTCGTTTATCAGTGAGGTTCATTACTTACAATTGCGGCATAGCGTACGCACAAGCGGCGAGCGAGGTGATGGCAATAGTGAAGAAACGCATCTTGATAGTGTTTGATTTTGATAGTGTGTATCCAGAGATAATGATGATGATTGTTTTATCGCCCAGTAGGGTGGTGCTTGCCGGCAACCTTTATACTTGTTAGTGCCATACTTCTCGTAATTCTGAAAACTGGGGAATGCTCGCCGTGTGAGTTTGGGATCGCATATACGATTACCGGACTAAGGTTTCTGTTCCTCCTTGGGCCCTGGAGCCGCTGATTCCGAGACACGGTTTCGCACGGGATATTGGGCGAGGAATTTGAACTGTCCGGAGGCAAAAGATAGTGCCTTGACTTTACCTGACACTCGTTCCAGTGATGTCTTGGCGGCCCTGAATGCCACTATCTCAAAAGATCCCACCTTTAGTAGATGAGGGGGTCATGGCTGAGACCATGGTCCGATACGAGGATAAAGGTTATCTTGTCAATAGACAGCCTCGCGGTCAATCTTCCTTCCTCTTGAATCGTTGGACGAGTGAAATCTGAAGGAAGCCTCTGAATGAAGCACTAGTTTCTTCTAGCCTATTTAAGCATAAATGAAATGCGACTGATGTGAAGGAGATCGCTGGTGATGTATGATGACGGAAGATTGGTCGCTGAGGTGAGACCAACAACTGAAAACCGTGTCCACTAGTCTTAGACAGCCCCAGACCAACCTCCTCTGCCAAGGCACGGCATCACGAACCATGTGGGCTCAAATGAAAGCGTTTCCACGTTTGGATGGTCCTTTTGGGCCAATTGATTTGCCCGGCAGAGTAGTTCGACCTTGGCCATTTACAAGGAGCATATGGGGAACCAACTCCGACCCCGCCGGTTCGTTCAACACCCTCACGAAGCCTTAAACGGTTGTTTTCCCACATTGGCCAAGTTTTCTCGGGATTACTTCAAGTTCTTTCAATCTCACCATACTGGCGGGAGTCGTTTGGATGTAAGGTACATATCGAGGGCGCAAAGTTTCACCTCCGAGCTGTTAGTCAACGTTTTCAACGACGATTCACTAGGACGTAAAAAGGAATATTGGTAAGATTTCCCCCCCATGTCATGGAATGCTTCAAACTGTAAATAGGCATTGGGAACTGCCTAGGCGACTCCACAGCCTCAAAGTTCTGAACTGTTACAAACGAGATGGATGGCTCTAAGTCCGATGGATTTCTGTCTCCTGGTGCTCTGAATCACAAGATCTAGTCATCAGACCAGAAGTGAGGCTGAGAAAAAGTTCAGATAGCGCTGTGCCGTCATTCCCGCCCACCAAAGTCTAAGACTTATCCTGCACAGCCTTCCTGCATTAGGATCTAGAAACTCTTGGCATATCCAACATACTGTTGAAAGGAATTATATGGTTGTGTTTACGAAACTTCGATCATAGCCCCGCAACATGAAAACACTTCTGCTCCACATGCATCACCGGCGTTAGTGAAGAATGTGTTCCTGCAGTTGACTGATGTGGGGAAAACTGAGAGGTGTATTGGGCTTATAACACGAGATTCGGCGGCATGTGGCTAAAACGGCGTTTTGCTGTGTACTTTTTGGTTGCCAATTAAAGCGTAAAAACCGGCATAGATATCACACCTAGAGAATACTATGTAATCATCGGCGAAAATATATCGGTGCCTTATTCTCGTTTATGTGAGCTATATAGTAAGTTGATATAGAAAACATAGGCAAATCCAATAACGCAACGAAGATTGTGAGTCACATCTCAGTATTTCTCGCAGTCGCCAGAAGAGGGTTCCACGCGACCAATACGGCGCATTCCAAGGAAGTCTTGTTGAGGAACTTTCATCTGGTTATACTAATTTTGTATCCTAAGAGAAGGGAGACTTCCAGTTCGGCTATGTTTATTATCTCGAGGCGGACTTAAAAAATCAACTCAAGAACGGACAGTCTGACAAGTGCTATACAGCGTCTAGGAAGCAAGTTGGCATAAAGCGAATCAATTTTGGGTTAGAACGTAGTGCTCTTCTATAAGATATAGACTCTTCTAGCCCTATTGAATCACTGAACTGCCTTTTTTGAATACGTCAACTTTTAAATTATTACCCCATGTCGATTACCCAGCCAGAAAATGCCACTATGACTTGGTGAAAATATCACGGATCGGCTCTTGTATCCAAGTAGGCCATGCCCTGAAACTTGATAGCATAATTTCACTCTCAGGGAGAATCAGCTCTCCGCTTCTTCTGCTCATGAGTTGGGCGACAATCTTGTCGGCAACATCCGCTGGCTCAAGAAGATGGAAACCATGTCTCTCAAGACCCTCAATGTACTTTCCAATGCACGGCGTCCGGACGTAATGAGGGTGGACAATTGTGGTGAGCACATTGGGTGCCTTGTATCTATGCCTCAGTTCGGTGCCGAGGGCCTCGTGGAACGCGCGTGCTGCTGCCTTGCTACCGGCATAGTCGGCGATGCCCCCGAAACAAAAGAAGGAGGCCAAACTCGCAACAGTAACCACGTGACCCTTGTTGGCCTGGATCATGCTCGGAAGAAACTCTCTGGTGGTGAACCAGTTGGCAAAGCAGTTGACGCCGAAGATCTTTCTCAGGTATGCCTCGTCACACGCGAGGATGTTGTGGTGGCTAGCAATACCAGCATTATTCACAAGGATAGACGGTGAGCCAACCTCGTCGCGAATGGCTTCAGCCGCGGCAGAAACCAATGCGCCATCAGATACATCACACTTGTAGAAGTGTACTCGAGGGTGGTCCTCGAGCGATTTAGGAAGTTCCTGAACGTCAATCACCGCCACGCGAACTCCTTTCTCCAGAAGTTTTTCAGCCAGCGACTTTCCGATCCCACTGGACCCTCCAGTGATGATGGCAATCTCATTGGGCCAGTCCCAGTTTGTTGTTGGTCTGAAGCTCCAAGAATTTCGGGCCAACTCGCTGAGCATCCTGTGTGCCCAGCGAAGGGCGCCCGCCACGAATACACCACCAAGAGCCGGTCTAAGCAGAGAGATATCTACCGATCCAAGCGAAAGTTGAGGCACTGCCTTCGACAAGGCTTGAACAACCTGCTGCATTACATTGGGCGCGCATGTTGTGGCTAGCAGAAGCGACCCTGACAGCAGCGCTGAGGCGGGAGCATGGCGCCATAGAACCATGGTCAGAAAAGGCGCTGTGAGTGCGGCTTGTTGGATGGTTTATTTGATGGCAGTCGGAATGGAAGACGAACTAGAAGCTAAAGGTGATGATGAGGATACATCGGGGCATTTAAGTAATTTGCGATTTGGAGATTACCAACGCGTTATTCGCTTTTCGAGCTAACGTGTTGCCATTTTGGGGATCAATGCAACGAGGCAGGTCCTTGGCAGAGTGGCGGAGCCAATTAATTTGGCATGAATCGTAAGATCCTGGCTTCAACTGAATACCCCAGCTTCCATCTCAATGGGGATGTATTTACTCTGGTCGGCAACGAGAAAAGAGACGGGTTGAGTGCGATTGAAGAGTGAGAGTGTAGGTAGAGTGCTAGATTTAAACCAGACATCATAGGCTCTGAACTCGGTTTATTTGAGTAGAGCAGCTCAAACAATCGTCAAGTATGGACCTGGGGCCTTTTCTGATCTTATTCATATTCAGGTAAATGACCACTGAAGAAAAGGACCATCAGTCTTTCCGTCCTCCGTTAGGCTTCAGTCGGAGGGGTGGTCCGATCACGGTAGACACTCGTGAGAAAGGGACCAGTCTGTGTTACGTCAAGATGGAATAGCGAATCAAATTGGTGGATATGCTCCTCAGAAAGTTCATGCTTCATATCGGACAATTGAGAACCAAGATTTTCCCCGGGTTGTACAATTACCTCGTCCTATTGGTCTATGATTGATCACATGGAAAAGCAAGATGCATCTTAGCTCATGCATCCTCTCTTAGATTTCACCTGCAAAAACGCTAGACGATTCCGTCTCCCTTGACCTTCAGAAATTTATCCTTGAACGTGATCAAAGATTTGAAAGGAATATGAAGAAATCTGCTTGGCTTGTTCGGCTACGCAGATAAAGTGCATCGATCTGATTAAACAAGCCGATCCGATCTTGTTGCACATCATCGGGGCTGGCAATGCTAATGATTGGAAGTCGCAGGACAAGCCGGTTCCACAATGTAGCTACGGCGGTGAGAATCGGAAGTCCTTTCTTCCGAGTGTTAATGTGTGTCTGAGACAACAGTGTTGTCTTAGAAACTGGCCAGTGAAGAAGCGGTTGAGTAAGCTGGAGGGGAGCCGATTTGCACCACACCACATGAGATTCCCCGCGTGGCTGCAGGACTAAGATGCGGTTTTGGACGTAAATGGACAAGGCTTGCATACCGCCTTCGGTGATAATATCGGAATTGGGCGTAGGCAAGTTTCGAGGAGGATTTGCTTAAGAGTAGAGCACGGAATCACGGGCCCTCCTCACCCGTGAACGCTGTACACGTCCGGGCTTCTTGCACCGCACATTGATTAAAAAAACACAGCCGGATTCCTTGATGAAAATGTCTTTCATTAGTGGCTTCCGCTCCTCGAAGCCTAAAGAGACCAGCGGCAATTCTTTGGGGCTGGTCAGGCGCATTTCCCTCCGTTACAAAGGCCCGCCCAGCTCCCCAAGTTTCCGCGGCGGTCGAGCCCCCAGGCAAGTCTACCCACTTCTGCCGTACATTTAACGTAGATTAACGATAGAACAGACCTAATGACGCCTTTGTCGCTGTGATGGGGGTCACAGGGTCTGGAAAAAGCTCCTTCATCGCACTATGCTCTGGCCAACCAGTACGGATAGGGCACAGCTTGGGCGCATGTCAGTGGACAGTCAGGGATTCTTAGAAGAAGAGGCTAATATATCACCAGGTACTTCGACGGTGGATGTATATGCCTATGATATATCTCCAGATCAGACTGTCTACCTCATTGATACCCCTGGATTCGATGACACTAACAAGAGCGATACCGAAGTTCTGAGCGAAATCGCCGCTTGGCTTGGAGAGTCATACAAGAAGCGTGTTCTCCTTAACGGAATCATTTACTTACATCGTATCACTGATATACGGATGCAAGGATCGGCCAAGAAGAACCTCCTGATGTTCCGACAGCTATGTGGCGAGGATGCTCTCAAGAAAGTGGTGCTTGCCACCACAATGTGGGACAAAGTACCTATTGAGGAAGGCGAGCAAAGAGAAAAGGAACTGGTTGATACCCAGGAGTTCTGGGGTTGGATGCTGCAGAAAGGCAGCTCGTGTAGTCGACATATGAACTCCGAGGAATCGGCAAAGCGCATTGTACAGACGCTGGTTAGCCATGAAGCCCCCGCGGTCACCACTCTCCAGGTAGAGCTCATAGATGAGAAGCTTCGACTGGATCAGACGTCTGCTGGGCGAGCCTTACATACTGATCTACTAAGAAGGAGGGAAACTTGGACAAAGGAACGACAGGACATCAAAGACCAGATGAAAACCGCAGAAACGCCACCAGACCGTGAAGCGAAGAGGCTGATGCGTGAAGAGTGCGGAAGGTATTCGCGCATGATCAAAATGGCTGAGGAGGACGTCGCTAACCTTCGTTCTACTATGGAACATCTGCTTGTACAGCGCGAGAAGCGTGTGGCAAGAGTACTGAAACAATTGAAGAAGGATAGAGCTGCTCTGGATGAGCCACTTTCCGTTATCGAGGACCTACCGCGTGCCAGACAAGACGTCCCAGATTTGGAGAAAAAGTCGACGACTGAAACGGAAGTCAATAAAGAATACACTAAACATCTGAACCTCGACCAACATCTAGAACTCGACCAGGAAACCGAAGCAGAGGATGACGACGCTCCCATCACGACATCTAATGCTATCTATTCAGTGGGGATGTACGGCTACTTCTATAGTTGTCTGGGGTCATCATTTTGGAGTAGGTATGTAGACTATTCCACCTCTCCACGGTTCGTCCATCCGGATGTACTAATTGGATCCGACAAGCAATTCGGTTCCGCCCAAGCAAACAAGAGGCCATGCATGGCTACGGTCCGTTTGTTTCGGTGACGACTATAAGGGCGTGTCGACCTGGATAGCCCGCTACACGGATGGATGGAGTAAGGACTAACATGATGATTTATGATTATCTTCTGACATGAGTTCTAGTGAAAAGCCCAAACTTGGAAAAACGATACTCGCAGTTGAACGGCGACATCAAGGCTCGGGGGCTTGATAATCTCGACATGGTGGCACTTGGCCCGAATCAAAAGTATTATGCGAGATGGAAGGATGGAAGTTGGACCAGCCTCGCGTCCGACGAGGCCAACTCTGTTTTCAGCAGATGCCACAGTAAAGAGAACCCCTCCAAGATCACTGCCGTCGCCTTCGGGTATGAGGATGCGTATGTTATTGCATTCGAGTACGGGTTCCGCTCGGGACGTTTAGGGTGTAACTGCAGTTTGAATGGCCACTATCCTGGCCTTGCACAGCTCTTTGGGGAGACAAGACACATCAACATCACTGTAAGCATCCAGTCCCGATAGTGAGGATAATTTCTAAACTGTAAAACAGGCCATCACTCTCAATCCTGAGAACACGACCGACTTTATCTTGATCTGGAAGAAAAATCCAGATGATGACCGTCACAAAATAAGCTGGTGTAGTCAATACGGAAATGTGCAGAATTCAATAGGAATCTGGTGGCAAAACAGCAAGGTCCAGGATATCTTCTAATGATTGCTATGTCAAGCATGTTTTATTTGGAAGCGCAGAGAACAGTCTTGTTCAGAACTTGAAATAAATTCGTGCCACTCATTCTATGTATTCCACTTTATCGTGATATGTCCAAATGTAGATCCTCTTTATCTTCCTGAGGTGGCCGTGCTAGGATGCATCAACTCCCTCATGATCCTCCGACTCCGTTATCTCTTTGCTGCTTAAACTCTAAATTTACCGGGAAAAGTGAGTAATGGGGCATGTTTGATTTAGTGCCCACTAACAAGACTTTAAACATAAGCATGAAACTATGCATCTACATAGGTTAGCGAGCACTCTCAAGAACATCTTATTGCCAATAGTGCCGTTTCTAAGAAATTAGTCTACCAAGCTGATGTAGATCAGCATAAATCAAGAGATCGTATCATGCTGTGAAACATTTGCATAATTGCTGCGGGCTTGATGTGATATCTCATAGACCTCGCCACACAACAGGAATGTATCTTGGGTGGGTGGCCAAATCACCTTTCGCTTCCATCTCAGCTTCAACTAGCGGGATGCAGTCATCTTCCACCGGTTTTCAAACTATTCGTCCAACGGTAGGGCTTACAGAGCTGGATGTCGGTGAGGGTGTGCACTGCTCTCTCCCATTATTGGACAATGTCACACAGCCGCAACCACTAGACGCTGGTACCACAAGCCGCGGAGTGCAGGCTTCAATAATCTAGATTCTAGGCTTCACTCGGCTGAGGTGAGACATAGTACATCTCACGAATCGAACCCCGCCTTTTGTGTTGTATCATACCTCAAACCCTTGCAAGGTTGACTGGCAATGGTGACAGACTGGTCGAGGCCCATCGTTGATCACACTAATTTGCGACTGGTCAAAAGGAATAAGTGAAGATAGGCCATTCTCGGAATGGAGCTGCTTGCGACGCCCCGGGTAGAGTATCCCTGAATTCTTTCATGGCTCATAGCAAGTAAGTGGTTCTATCCTATCCAAGTACGGTCTATAATGAGTCCTTCATAATTCCCACATTAATTTCTATTGTGGCCTATCGTTCACATCGATGTTATCTCTCGGGGGCCATAGTGACGAAGCAGGAGGGAGCTTACGCCATCCTATCGCCTGACCTTCATGTGCGCTCGATGAGCCCATTCCCAATGTTTCACCTAGAAAATGATGAAGCACCCCCGGTCCAATCACAAGCCGCAGGCCGTATTTCGCTCAAGCCATTGAGCCACCAAATTCTTGCGTACCCCTACCCGGCCAGTAAATGTTGTGAATCAACACCGTCATGATGACACTGCCCCAGCCACAAAACTTCCCCCTCATTCAGCCCTTCCAGCTCTCGTTGCAGCTGAGGTGAGCTATGTGTGATGATCCGGAAGAGAACCGCGAGTGCAACCACTCCAATGAACCATCAGATATATGCAACTATGCAGAACGAAGAGCTATTTA